ACAGCATGATAGAATGAACTACATGTAAATAACTGCACATGCAAATGGTTTCCCTTGTTGCGCCCTCAGCTGTCTTGCCTGCTTTGTATTCCCTTTTAGCTTTGCAATAATAATGATTCCGACTTGCAAAACAACAACAGAGTACACGTGTTAGTTCCCAGTATACAGATAATGCACTCAAGTATGGCGCACCAGCTGTTGCCTGCAGTACAGTATGCTAATTGCCATAGTTCTGAAAGAATAGATATGCATAAGAGCATACAGTATTGCTGAAGCCTGGAAGATGTACTGTGAAGTGTGTACAAAAAGTACATTTAGGAATTGTTTAAAGTCATGTTGATGATAAAAATGTCTGTATTTTTTGGTGCATCTGTTTAGATATAGATCTGATTGCAAAGTCATCTGTCTTGTGGATCTCAGCATGTTGCGGCATACACTGATCAGGCATAACATTATGAACACCTGCCTAATGTGGCGTTTCCTCTTTTGCTGCTAAAACATCGCAGAGCCATCGAGGCATGGACTCCACTGGAAACCCCAAAGGTGTGATGTGGTATCTGGCACCAAGATTTAACCAACAGATCCTTTAAGTCCTGCACGTTGCAAGGTGGGGACTTGGGTCGATCCTTCGAGGACTGTGTATAAAGAGAGCCTCTTAGAGAGGCAGAGTTTCTCAGATGTAAAGATGGGCAAAGGTTCACCAATCTGCAAAAAACTTTAGAATAATGTTCCTTCAGTGTAAAATTGACTGATCATATCTCATTATCCATCATGAAAACCCCCAAGGTCAAACAAGGCCAAAGTCAATATTGGATGGCCATGATCCTAGGGAGCTCAGGCAGCACTGCATTAAAAACAGTCGTGATTCTGTCATGGAAATCACCGCATGGTTTCAGGAGCAGAAATCATTCCAAAAATGACTGTGAACAGAGTTCATTCACAAATGCAGGTTAAAGCTCTATCATGCAAAAAAGAAGCCATGTGTGAACATGATCCAGGACCCCAGCCGTCTTCTCTGGACCAAAGCCCTTATAAAATGGAGTGAGACACAGTGGAAAACTATTTTGTGGTGAGATTAGTATCTGTGGCAAAGAGGAGAGGGACTATCCGGCTTTATTATCAGCATTCAGCCGAAACGCCTGCCTCTCTGATGGTATAGGGGTATATTAATTCGTATGGAATTGGTAGCTTGCACATCTGGAAAGGCCTCGTCAGTGCTAAAAGGTATATATGGGTTTTAGAGCAACATATACTCCCATTCTGAAGACAACTTTTTCTAAAACAAGTAAGGGATCTGCTCAAATGGTCTGCATGAATCCATATTTCACTAACTGAAAACCATCATGAAATAAAAAATATGACAGATAAGCTAGAGTCAGACAAGAACGAGGCCAGCAGCCCGTAATCAGTTTAATCAGACCTTCCTTAGAATTTCATATGTGACTTATGTGCCACTTTTAGGGTGCCTGGGTCATCGCCCCAGATTTTTCAGTTTTATATTAGTATTGAACTTTTGATATTATCTATCATTTCTAGTCTTTTGGTTTCATACAGTTCTCTGTCTTATGGCTTATGTCTCTGTGTTCCATAGTTGCTCTGTCTCCCCTGTCAGCTGCATCACATGTCAAGTTCGCATCTCTGTGTTATGTTTCCTGTTTTACTTTGAAAGTCCGTGTCTCATGTTAATGTGTCTGGTTTTGGTATTCTCAGTTTTGTCTGTTTGTCATGCGTTTAGACCTTACACGGCTTCTTCTATTTTTTTTTTTTTAAATTGGCTGTAATGTTTCCCATTTATGTTGAATTCTAAATTATGCAAACCCCCTTTGGGTCTAAAGTTTGAGAATCATCTGTTTAACTAGAAGAAAGTTGATTCTAAAGTATTAGAATGTAATAGGGAAAGTATATTTCTGGAAAATGAAAATATCAACACTTGAATGTAATGCAGTGTTTTTAATAAAAATGCATAGCATACTGTATGAAATACCAACATTGGTATTAATTTATGCAGGAGTGGTCCTGCTTTAATTGTTTTCCATGTAATCTTGGCTACATTGGGTGCAGCGATAGCTTCATATCAGAACAGAAAAAACAATGTTCCTTTTAATATAACTGCTGTGTGTTCAGCCATATCCTCTCATCCTGTGTTAGAAACAATCCCATGGTATTTTTTCTTAGCGTTTCATGTCATAAAACTTTTGCTCAAATCTGTACAGCTTCCCAATAGAAGAAAAGACAGAAGACTAAAAAGATCTCATCCAGCACAGCACCTAACCTTTACCGCAGCATTTATTTGCCCCCGGCTCCCATAACAATCTCCTTGTTTGCACAATTTTCTCACCCAACACACTTCACCTGGCTCTCTCTGTCAGCGGACGTTGAGCTTGTGGGCAGATCGCACACAGGCAGACACACACACACACACACATAAAATGCAGGACTATTGATTTGTTGAGCGCGGTGGTCGAGCAGCCCTGACTTGCCTCGCCCCTTGGGTGAGACACACAATCTGCAGCGGATGTGCTGCTCCTAAACTGTCCCTGGGCACCATTTCAAATCCCCACAGATTCACGATATTGATTTGTAACTGTTTCTCCCCACAGCTAGTGTCTCCTCCAACTCCATCATGTCCCCTTTTGCTCCTTTTTTATCCGACCTTTGTTGTTTTGTTTCTTGTTCCCAGAGGAAATTCAGGGGTAAATAATAGACAGACATCAGGTCATCTTTTCTTTTTCTTCCCCCCCCCCTTTTAAAAATATATATATATATAAAAAGAGGGAGCAGGAACATGGGGCTGGAAGATCATGACAAGAGTCAAATCTAGTTATTGTTGTTGAGGAGGCAGGAGAAAGCTCTGTCATGCAACAAGATCGAGGATGACAGAGAAACCATTGAGCTGGTGTGATTGCATGCGGACCACCTTACAGAAATACTCGCTTGCATGTGCTGCAATATCTCCATCCCAGTGATGTGTCAGCGTGGATTCAATCACACCCACTCTTGAATATGAATGCTTTTTAAAAGTGGGGAAGAAAAAAAGATGTGACCCAAGGAGGAAATAACCTTTTTATATGTAAAGTTACTGTTTGCATTGTTTCGACAGGCTACGATTTGAGTTACTTCATTTGCTCGACCTCCCCCACGCTTCACTCACTCCCCATCTCTCTCAGCTAGTTCTCATTGTCAGACTCTGTAATTGAGGTAATGCTGTTAATGATGTGCGAGTGGTCTCTTTTCTCTCTTACACACCCTCACGCACGAGCATTGATGTCAGCAGATAGGGCTATTTCATTAGCGCTGGCATGGCGAAGACGAGGCAGCGGTGGCTTACGGGCACAGACGACCTCGCCGTGGGGGAGCGGGAGCTTTAAACACTAATTAGGATGACTTTGGGAGACAAAGCAGGTGTGGACTGGCTGGAGATTTGAAAAAAGAAAAAGGAGGGAGGGGTGGTAGAGGGGATGCGTTTGAGTCAAAATGACATGACGGAACGGGAGACAGACAGAAAAAGTCAAATACAAATGGAGACAGACAGGCGCAGAAGCGGTAGAGGAAGACTAAATGGGGAAAACAAATCATGGATAATTTAGACAGACAGAAATTTAGAGAAGAAAATTGCTGCAATCAGACAGATCTTGGAGTTGAATACCTGAGGACCTGAATGTGTGTGTTACTATAACATGGGTGCTATTCACATCTCAGATGCTCGATGGAAAATATCTTTAGTCACTCATTATATACCTCACTATTTTTTTTTTTGTCTTCATCAGAGAATGCTTATTATGCTGGTCTGAAGTCAGGGATTCAAAGTTGGCAATTACCAGAAGTGTATTCGTGATGTCGTGGCATAAAGATCCTCTGGTTTTTCAAAATGAATGGCTTGATTGAGTGAGAATAGTTCTACAGCAGTTTTCTTGCCAAGTTATGATAAGAACCTTGATACGACTGTGTCTACGCAACACGATCAATGTCATTAGACCACTAACCTTGTAGAGTGGCCATGCGGAAGCCAATCCTCAATAAAAAGCACATAATGACAGCCACCTCAAGGACTCTCAGACCAAGAGAAACTATATTCTAATGAAACAAAAAAGGCTTTGACTTGAATTCAAACGTTGTGTTTGGAGCAAACTAGGCAGTGTTCATCACCTGGCCAACACCGTCTCTACAGTGTAGCATGGTGGTGGCAGCATTATGCTGTGGGGATGGCTTTCAGCAGCAGGATCTTGGAGACTAGTCAAGGTCAACAGAAGATGAATGCAGCAATGTAGAGAGACATTCTTGATGATAACCTGCTTCAGAGCTTCTGTAACAAAGATAACAAAGGTCTCTCTTTAGGACCGCTCTGTGAGTGTCCTTGAACATCTCTTGGAGTGCTGAAAGTGGCTGTGCACTCATGCTCCCTATCCAATCTTATGCAGCTTGAGAGGTTCTAAAGCAAAGGATGGGATAAATTGCCCCACGGATTTTGGGGTGAAGAATGAATTCTGGAATAAGGCTGTAATATGATAAAATGTGGAACAAGTAAAAATGCCTTGGTTATGTTCCAGATGCACTGTATGTACTTAGCACTGTACTGCATAGCAGGTAAAATGTATGCTTGGCAGCTTTTAGAACATTTTCAGAACTGAATACTACGCTTTGAATAGTGGTCACAGGTTCAAAGACACACATGAAATCCATTGAAACATGAAAGAACTGTAGATATATAAGCCTACAGTGGAAAACTGTTTGCAACCTTCTCCTGCTTAACATAAACCAACATGTTCAGTATAAGCAGTGACTCAAAAGCGAGAGCTTAGGTGCTGCTACTGTTGCTATGGCGCCCCCCGTGTGCGGCAGCCTGTTACAGCAGCTCTGCTCATTCTGAGTTTCTTTCTTTCTTATCTTTTTTCTCGTAATTTTTTTATAACTAACGTATTAGTAATTAGACTCTGCAACCATGTTCTACCGTTTTGTGCTAGTCCTGGTCGTTTTTTTCAGTTTATTTCTACTGTAACCCAGTGAGTTTACACGACTCAGTAATGCACTACAACATGTTATTGTTAATTGGGATTTATCATTACTCTGTTAATCACTGAGTTGATCAAAAATAAATCAATAATAAAAGATAAATACTATAAATATAAGAATAAAACCCAAAGAGTATATTTAACACCCCTACTGGTTAGGAAGGAACAAGCCCCGCCTTCCCCTGCTCTGTACCGTCACGTGCTCAGACACAGAGAGAGACGGAGGTGCACGAGACCATCACTGATTTTCACCGCCAAGCTTTTCGCTGGAAAATAACTATTAACTTGATAAATTGAGCAAATATCCATACCGGAGATCTGCATGGACCTTGGAGAAACGGACCTGATTTATTGTGAACATTTCGGACCTTGAAACCATCGCGGTGAGTCAGAAGCTGTTAAGCTAACCTTGAAGCTAAAAAGCTAACAAGAAGTTAACAGGGAATATAATGGCCCAATTTCAATGTTGTAGATCTGCGCGGGAGCGGATGAAGTGGACAAGATCCTCTCTGAGAGTTGAACAAGATCCTCTCTGAGAGTTGAACAAGATCCTCTCTGAGAGTTGAACAAGATCCTCTCTGAGAGTTGAACATTAGAAGTGTGCTGGTGAATTAAACTGGGACTGGGCGAATCAGGCTAATTGAAAAGCTAACTAGCCTAATGCTCATAGCTGTAGCTGACCACGTTTTCACTGTGGGAGAACACACGGGGTTTCTCACTGAGTTCAGCCATTTTGAGCACTCAGCTTGTGTGCTGATGATATTCTAGTATTACTTGTTGAATATTAAATGCACTAAAATTAAATGATGGAATAAGTTAATGTTGATCTTAAAGGTCATGAATCTACTTTATTTTGTTACATTTGATGCTCGAGCGGCACTGGATAAGATAAGATAAGATAAGATAACCTTTATTAGTCCCACACGTGGGAAATTTGTTTTGTCACAGCAGGAATAGATAGATGTCCGTGTGTATTCTTACTGTGCTGATACGTTACCACATACTGTAAAACTACAGCCTGTGGGTTTTTGTATATTCTTTTGGTAATTTTATTCTGTACATTGAGTGTAAATAATATATTGCTTCATTGCTATGCAGTGTAAAGCAATGCTCCTGTAATTCAGTTAAAGGGCAATACTGTAAAAAAATAATCTACCATAGTTTATGGTTTATTTCTGATTTCTGATAGAAATGTGCACCTTGACGATAGAATAAGCTGATTGTGATTTAAAGATTGCATTCATGATTAAGATGCACTGTATAGACTATAGTTAGAAATTAGAATTAATGTTTTGTGCTTGTTTTGTTATAGCACTTACATTATTTACATATGGCCATGTATATCATTAGAGTGTGAACTGAATTAGTAATAGTCCTGTTGTTTACAGGCTAGGTTTTTTTATGGGATCGTGAGACCTGGATCTCTTCCTGACGAGGAAGATGGCGAGCCTTTTCCTTTGAACCGAACCGAACCACAGCCATTCTGAGTTGGCCCAGAAGGGCAGGTTGCTCTTCTCTCACGAACAATTGCAACAGTGCGGTAGGACGAAATCGCACCAATCACAAACTTTTGACCTGTTGGATTTGACTTGACTGAACACTGACTATTAAGCCGGCAAGACTGACATATCTGAGCTCAGCTAGGATTCTGACTGTTATTATTATTGTTGTCACTGTATTTTATTTTATGTTTTCATTCCTGTTCATAAAATGCTGTTAAATTGTTGCTAAATAGTTTAATACAATTCATAGCAACTTTACCTGTGGCTCCAGTCATTCTTCTCCACGCAACTCCCTTTATCCCTCCTGCGAATCTAGCTATTGGCCCATTCTCTCCATCTTACTTTAATTTCCCCTACCCTATCCTGTACTTGGCTACACTACTTTTTTCACCCGTGTCTGGGGACCCAGAGCAGAGATCCTTTGTTTACAGTAAGGATCAGCTGTTAGCGCTGCGTCCTGCAGCGGTACTGCCGGCGGACAGACCCGATATTCCCAGCGAGCTGAGGAGGAAAAGACGGGGGTGTCGTGCTGGGAAGGAGCGCCGTCGCCCGAGAAGGAGACGTTATCGACCATCTCTTCCTTCTGTAATTATTGGAAACGTAAGATCTTTGCCCAATAAGATGGATGAGCTCACGTCGCTAACCTGGTCACAGAGGGAGTACCGGCAATGTAGCATCATTATGCTAACGGAGTCGTGGCTAACATCGCTAACTCCGGACACAAGCGTGACACTACCGGGATTCCAGCTGCTGCGAGCGGACAGGACCAGGGACAGCGGTAAGAGGAAAGGAGGGGGACTGGCAGTTTTTGTGAACGACAGATGGTGTAACCCTGGGCACATCACTGTAAAAGAGCAACTCTGCAGCAGAGACATTGAGCTGTTAGCCGTTAGCATGCGTCCGTACTACCTGCCCCGGGAGTTATCGCGATAACAGCGTATGTCCCCCCTCGGCCAACGCGGATGCAGCCTGTGACTCTCTCCACTCTGTGGTCAGCAGACTGCAAACACAATCACCGAGAGCCCTTCTCATAATATCAGGGGACTTCAATCATGCCTCACTGGACTCCACACTGCCCACCTTCACCCAGTATGTGACCTGCCCAACCAGAGTCAATAAAACACTGGACTTACTGTATGCCAATGCAGAAGAGGCATACAGTTCATCACCTCTCCCTCCCCTGGGCAGATCTGATCACAACCTGGTGCACCTTGTCCCTGTGTATGAGTCCTTAGTGCGCAGGGAGCCACCAGCACAGTACAGAGATGGTCAGAGGAGAGCGAGGAGGCTCTTAAGGACTGTTTTGAGTCGACTGTGTGGGAGGTGATTTGTGATGACCACGGAGAGGACATCGACAGCCTTACTACATGCATTACTGACTATATAAACTTCTGTGTGGATAACACTGTACCTACCAGGACTGTACGGTGTTTCTCCAACAACAAACCTTGGATTACCCCAGAAATTAAAACCGTCCTCAAGCAGAAGAGGAGGGCCTTCAAATCCAGAGACAAAGAGGAGTTGAAAAGGGTGCAGAGAGAGCTGAGGGGACTGATAAGGAATGGGAAGGAGAGCTACAGGCAGAAGATGGAGAACCAGCTTCAACAAAACAACGTTGGTGAAGTCTGGAGAGGCCTCAGAACCATCTCGGGCCACAAACAGCAGAACTCTCTGCCTGGGAGGGATGTGAGATGGGCAAATGAACTGAATCATTTCTTCAACAGATTTGACTCAGCCATGAGGCAGTCTGCAACATCGGCTGCAGACTCACCCACCCCCACTGCTGCTGTTCCACCTCAGACACTTCACACCTCCTCTATTCACCCTGCTCACTCCCCCCACCCCAACAACAGCATCCAATACACACTCAACACAAGGCTCCAGCCTGTCTCTCTCAACCACCCAGGTTAGGAGGGAACTGAGGAGGATTAATGGCAAGAAGGCAGCGGGTCCAGATGGCATCAGCTCGAGGGTCGTCAGGTCCTGCGCGGACCAACTGTGTGGGGTGATGGAGCACCTCTTCAACCTGAGCCTGAGGTTGGGAAGAGTCCCACAGCTCTGGAAAACCTCCTGTGTTGTACCAGTGCCAAAGACTTCACGCCCCAAGGACCTCAACAGCTACAGGCCGGTGGCTCTGACATCCCACCTGATGAAGACCCTGGAGCGGTTGGTCCTGGCTCAGCTTCGGCGCCTAATAAGCTCATCACTGGACCCACTTCAGTTTGCCTACCAGCCTGGCATTGGAGCGGATGATGCCGTCATTCACCTCCTACATCGTTCCCTCGCTCACCTGGAGACCGCTGGAAGCACTGTGAGAATCATGTTCTTTGATTTCTCCAGTGCCTTCAACACCATTCTTCCCTCGGTTCTAAAGGACAAGCTGGTGAACTCTGGAGTGGACCATCACCTCACTACCTGGATCCTGGACTACCTCACCGACCGACCACAGTATGTGAGGACTCAGGGCTGTGTGTCGGACAGGGTCGTCTGCAGTACGGGGGCCCCACAGGGAACGGTTCTGGCTCTGTTCCTCTTCACCATCTACACTGCAGACTTCTCCCACAATTCCACCCAGTGCTTCCTGCAGAAGTTCTCTGATGACTCTGCAATAGTCGGCCTCATCACTGATGGGGACGACAAGGAGTAAAGAGGTCTGACCCAAGACTTTGTGGACTGGTGCCAGCAGAACTACCTCCAGATCAACGCCAGTAAAACCAAGGAACTGGTGGTAGACTTCCGCAGGCACAAGCATTCTCCACTGCAACCACTGAACATCCAAGGTATGGACATTGAGGCTGTGGACAGCTACAGGTACCTTGGTGTTCATCTGAACAATAGACTGGACTGGACTCATAACTCAGACGCCCTCTACAGGAAAGGGCAGAGCAGGCTGTACCTGCTGCGGAGACTCAGGTCGTTTGGAGTGGAGGGCCCACTCCTGAAGACCTTCTATGACTCTGTTGTGGCTTCTGCTATCTTTTATGGTGTGGTCTGCTGGGGCGGCAGCATCTCTGCTGGGGACAGGAAGAGACTGAACAGGGTGATCCGAAGGGCCAGCTCTGTTCTAGGATGCCCTCTGGACCCAGTGGAGGTGGTGAGTGACAGGAGAACGGCGGCTAAGCTGTCATCCCTGTTGGACAACATCTCCCACCCCATGCAGCAGACTAGGGCTGCCACGATTTGTCGACTAGTCACGATTACGTCGACTATCAAAATCGTCGACGACTGATTTAATAGTCGACGTGTCGTTTGAAGCTTTGTAAGATCGCAAAAGACGCAGGAATAATAGCAGGATTTAAGAGTGTAATAACGGACTGAAACAGAAGATGGCAGCACAGCATGTACAAGGATGCCAGCTGCCGTTAAACCCCGAAGAAGAAGAAACAGCTGTGTCCCAGAATTCATAGCGCGGCCCAGCTTAGTTTCCAACAATGGCGGTAGCTAGTTAGTTTTAATATTATTATTCTTTCTGGGTCACAAAATAAACGTTTAACATATTTTCAGGCGAGAATGTAGCTGTGTAAACCTCAAATATCGGCTCAGTTTATCAGGACACCACATATTTTCAAAAGCGCTCCGACGTTTTCGGAGACGTCTGTTACCCATGAGCTCGATAGCTAGCCGGGGGCTAGGTCACTAGCGCCGTGAGAACACCGGACTCCCGGCAAATTGTTTTCAAACCCACCGCCGTCTTTCGCGACTCAGGTTAAATATATATGAGTCACTTAGATAAATTAAAAATGTTGTTGTTTGGCTTTTTTTTTTTTTTTTTTTTGTATTTTATTTGTTCCTGAGTAAATCGGTTTGGCTGAGATTAAAGTTATAGTTTTTACACAGCTGAATAAACGTCAAGCAGATTATCAGAAGTGTGAGATGCTGGAGAATATACTCCGGTGTCCTGTTATATTTTAGATAGCAAGGAGTTTATTAAACTTTACCGAAACAATCTGCAAATTTCATTAAAATTGAATAAACTATCATCTTGTCTTTATTTTTAGTTAGCACCTTAAAAGCTTAAAGCTGTAAGCTAATGATAGTTATATAAGAGCAGATGCTGCTGGTGCAATAAGCTGTAGTTTTACGTCCAGTGGATGATGATCTGATTAGTCGACTAATCGCATAAATAATTGGTGACTAGTCGACTATCAAAATAATCGTTTGTGGCAGCCCTACAGCAGACTGTGACAGCACTGAGCAGCTCCTTCAGTGGGAGACTGCGGCACCCACGGTGTGGGACGGAGAGATTTCGCAGGTCTTTCCTCCCCACTGCTGTCAGACTCCATAATAAAGACTTTAACTGATCAAGCACACACATCCATACATATGCAATAATACTAAGTGCAATAATCCTTTCTGTCATCGTTGTATTTTTACTCAGTTGTATATAGTATTTGTATTTGTATTCTATTTTATCTTATTGTATATTTATTTTATTTTATTCTACTGTATATAGTATTTTATTCTATTCTGTACAGTTGTGTACTGTATTTATTCTTATTGTATTCTAATTTTTGCCTCATAACTTTTGCACTGTCCACTTCCTGCTGTGACAAAACAAATTTCCCACGTGTGGGACTAATAAAGGTTATCTTATCTTATCTTATCTTATCTTATGTAAATGTGGATACGGACAAACTGGCAGTCAGCTATCTGTCAGCTTGAACTGTGTGCTAAACACAGCTAAAGTGTTCTATGGCACAGCTCTGTGTCCTCCCATTTGGGGGTTCACTACTGCAAGCCCTGAGCCAAAATGGAGCCGCAAAATACACACAAATGTAGACGTGCACACAGACAGTACAGCCAGGCATAAACGCACACACACCCACACACCAGCCAATGCCATTAAACAGAGATCAAATACAGGCATGCGTAAAGATCTGAAATGAAAACAATGTAGAAACCATTATGTTGAGGAGTATGCTCTCCCACCCCTTTCGGCGGAGTGA